TGGTACCCATTTTAGCGAACTCTGCGGCGCATGATTCATTTACAATTCGATTCTTCCTATTGAAACATGCGAATAATTTACGGCTCCAGTGTTGACAAAGCCATTCCACCTGAAAATCAGCAACTGCTACAAGTGCGTGAGCAAGCTCAAGGTAAAAACTAATTTTCATCACATTTCAGCTTTTAGGTGAATCAAAACGAATCTGTCAAAAACAGTTCACAACACACCGTGGTTACATCGGTGATGTCTCCAAAGTCGCTCTGCGTTGAAATTCTTTCAAAATTACTTTTTAATTTTTCAAACAACATGGAGCAGAGACCTGCTGAAAAGTTCCCTAGGCATTCAGAAGCCTGTGGACAATGGAATACGCCGCGATACTCAGGCTTAGTCACATGATGTTACCGATGGCATAAAAAACTAGCATCGTCATCAGTTAATATTAGGGTCATTCACAATATCAGTTTTTTAAAACATGAAAGTTTTCCTGGCTGAACAACAGTCATAAGGGATACCACTGTCTAGCACACAACGGTAAAACATATATAATGCATATACTGTACTGAACGTACCGCAGATCTAAAATAACAATAATGCCTAACAATAATGCACCGAAGCACTACCAATAATTAGCATAACAAAAGTAGTGCTTCGATGGCTCTCCCAGTAAGCAATACATCGAAGTTACAGTCTTTATTAGAAATGTTCACGTTTCAGCCAAACAATATTTGCCACACTCAGAACAAACATACTTGTTAATTTTGTAAAGCTGAAAATTTTTTTCCTTCATCCAAGACCCATGAAGCTGTCTACTGCAAGTCTTAAGGGATGACTATGTGGCCAAGTAATCGGTTGTCACGAAGTTATAAAAGTAGAAAGTTCGATGAAATTTTCATCCAATAGTGCAATAGCACCCTTGGAGTGATAATTTGTAGAATATGAAATCATGAAATGCGCATAATCATACACTCTTTAAGAGAAATAAATATATGCGCCAGTCCGTGAGCTTTTCGTGCAAGAGTCGAAATACGGCAGACGTCGATCAGAAGGCCAGGAGGTAATATGGAGGAAGAAGGTAGAGGAAGATCTGTTTGTAGAAGAACTGCCCCTTCTACGATACAGTAAACGGTATCTCAAAGGAAAAGTATTGAAAAGCTGTGAATACAGCAGACATCATAAAACAGACTCTTTCTGCCTATATAACCGGCTTACACAAACGACCGTAATAGCTACATTGCCAGATGCAACTAGAAAAGCTCAAACTAACAGTGTCTTTGGAAATACCAATATTGAGCAGGCAGTTTCACGACTAAAAATAGCATTCCAAGAGAAGGAATATGCGTCAATTAACAAGTGGAAATTCTAGGACAGACTTAATGAAATGACAATGCAAAGCGGATAAAAGAACCACAGATTATCTTACAACGGAATATCTGTTCTACGAACTAAATGATGGCACAGCAGAAGCACATAAAACCACCCTAAGCTGCTCTCAAGTGGCATTTTAATTAAAGTCTAGAACCATGATTTGCTCATAAACGTCGATTGAAAAGGAAACTCTGCCTCGACGCAGATTTCGAGACAGAGAGTGCGAGAGTGAAACACCCTGCCTTAAACGCAACCCTCAGTAATATTTAAAAACCGGTTAAAGCATGTTCAAAACAAATTTAATAGCAAAATAGGCAGCACACATCGCATTTTGATTTACATTTATATCACTTACTTTGAATACTGCCTAACTTTCATTATATATTATTTTCTATTGAACAGTGAAAGTTCCGGTGGTGATGGAATATGTTCTTGTTCGGCCCAACTCAGTGACTATGTCTCCATTGCGTCCGCATTGCAAGCGTCAATACGTCATCGAGCCGTGGTCCGCCGAAATGGTCCTCCTAGATGACTAAAAGCAATGGGGCAGTGAAAGGCTCTGATGGAAAGCCTACATCCATGTTATACAACGTAGTACTGTTGTAAAGTAAATCACTACAGTTTTCGCCGTGTGAATCCGGTATCAGTAGTTGAAAGACATTATCCTACTTTAATCAGTTTTCAGAGTTGTCTACCATTACACAGATCTCAAATTCATATACCTTTACATTCTCTCCAGTGATTAAAATAGAACTTCAAGATAACACGTAGAGCAGCAAAGGTGTCGCTTCTTTTCTGCAGTCATGACCATGAGATTATGTTATACGGACCCACTGCCACAGACGCGATCGTTTAGGGCAGCACCATCGGTGTTAGAGACATGGAGGTAAAATTTGCAGTTTCTAATAAAAAAAACATTTCAGTTTACGGTGGAGGTGCATGACTAGACCAAAGGTATAGTGATAAAATTTATGACGGGGTTTTACCGCCATTTACTGATCTATAGCTTCGAAATTGGAGTCATCTGCATATAAAATTTTAGCACAAACATCGAGATATGGATTCGTCAAATTACAGTTTTTGAATACCCAGCCTAACTGTGTTTTCTGACAAACACTGGATATCGTAAATGTCATCTTTTCTGTGTGACCTGTAAAAGCAGCAACTACAACGCAGAGACTAAAGATCACCACAAAAGGGCACCAATAAAATGAAACATTCCGCGATTCGATCCTGATTTGCATATCAGTAATAGGCATATTTAATATTATTACCTAGCTACCAAATGGAATTAACTTGCCAACAAAGTTTCGGCAGAATTAAGGTCAAAATGCTGTGATCAAGTAAAAACGACTATCCAACGCAACTGCCGAATGAAAACGCCCTAACACTTGAACATGTGAGAACCTATTGTAAACTATCTTTGACCTCTACTAACACACCAATCGATTACAGTAAAGCCTTGATGAAGTTTTTCCACGTGAGCTTACTTCGAGATCATAGCCGGAGCTTACGACATCACAATGTCGATATCATCGGTCAACAACTACTAAAGTAAGATAGAGCCCAAGGATCCTACTATCAGACGCAAAGTACCGAGATCTATCGCGTGGCAAACCTACGAGTTTCGTAGACACAAGAATAACACCGACCGATACCCGCAAAACTGGCTAATACTGTAGACTCATACTTCCAGTTCAAACGATCACTAACAAGAAAACTGCCAAAGCTAAAAACTGAACAAGGTACAAAGAGACTAGCACCCAAATCAAACCTCGTAAAAAGTTCCACCCCACCTCAAATTCCCAGCTGGACCATAAAACTACGGTAACGAACGTATATGTGTAAAATATACCCAGGCCAATCACAGATAAACATAACTGCCGCTTTTCATTACGTAGTTTACAATAGTTTCTAAATTAACATCTACACAATAGCTTCTCCAAAGAGAGCGCATGTAAAAAAAAATATACGACATAGCTATAAATTTAAATGAATAATTTTAACGGTAAACTGTTGAAAACTGATACAGCAACACTTACTGCCAAAACTATTCGTCAACTTTCTATAAAGATCGCGGAAAAAACCATATATGCATACAACGTTCGATCGCTGATCTTACGATTGTATAAACACGTGGATCTGCAAGTTCCATATCTGTGTTTACTTCGTTTAAATTTAAATCTTGCAATGGCTACAAAACGGCCGTGCCACATATTTCCGACTGGTACACTAGCAATTACAGATAAACGTCACCAAATTGCAATAGTTTCAATAGCAAAAAAATTAAATTTACGCTCTGTATAACAACTTCGTTGCCAATGCGAAGCCCGGATGAGAAAGGAGGAAGGCTAAATGTCGTGTGGAGATCTCCCGCACAACACTACGACACTCGCGCTTGTGTTTTCTCCGGAGTGGAATGACGCTGGCGTATCGCATTTTCCACAACAGTGACAGGAATCACCAGTTATCCATCTTTGTCGTTCTCCAATAGCACCAGCACGGTGCCTGAAATCACGTCACCTCCCTCCCTCCATTTGAACGAGCATCTGAGTTTCGAGGAACGGTGGCGAGCAGAGTAGGACTCTACAGCTCACCAGAACAACGACATTATCTTCAATTCGAACACAGAACCCCTGACGTGAATGGCCGGGATAAAACAGCATTCGAACAGGACAAAGACGCGGTGGACACTTACTCTATTGCTGGAAGAAGAAGACCAATCACAAGTGTGACTGCGGTCATGAAGATCAGACCAAGCAGCATATTATTTCCGAATGCCCGCTGCAAACGTACTACGGAAGCATAACTCTCTGCCATTACCTGCATTGAAAATCTTGACACTGAACCATGAAGTTGCAAGTCACCGATTCCAGCCATGCGAAGGAGAAAACTGCCTTCTTGAAAAAAGAGATTATCATTTTCATCTCCCATCGCCGCTGCTCCTTTCCGGTCACGGAAGCAGACACGACAGACAGAGTTTCCAACCTTTCCGATCCTGTGCCAGAGTCTGAGCTTCGGCAAAAGTCAAATGGAGTCTGGAACAGACTCCTTCCATATATTTGCACTAGGTTAATCTTGGCCGTCCACTGGGAATTCTGCGGTCAGATTTGAAGGGAACAGTTGCTTAGCCTTCCTTTCTGGAGGCATTCGCAACAGATGCCCAAACCATCGCAGCTGTGACCTATCAGTCTGAAGAAGCAAAGGCTGTACCAAGGCTTTTCCGGATTTCAGTATTTCCGACCTTATCGAGACGCGTAATGCCAGCGACTCGTCTAAAAAAGCTCATTTCAGCAGCTTTACCGCAGTTTCAATCTTTTCAGTGATGGTCCACGACTCATGACCGTAGATAAGTATGGGGATAAAGATCGACTTGAATATTGAGAGCTTAGTTTTCAGACCGAGCT